TGGTGAATAATGCTGGTATGAACATGGGTGCATATGATAGACTTTTTTAAGAGCCAGTGCATATTATAAACAGCTGGATCCTTGAGTTCTCCTCCTCGTACCTAAGATGAGCACATCCACCCTAACAACACAGGTTATTCTCCATCGCCTGGCAGTTGTCCAAGCACCTATCATCTATTAGAGGGACTGTTCTCTCTCTGCCCCATGAAGGTGGCCTTTGTGTGTCTGGACTGTGCTCAGGCCAGGTGACAGAGAACAGAGGAAATGGGATCCTCTTCAATAAATCTTAAAGAGAAAAAATTTAAATCTGAAGACATGCAGAGTAAGTCTATCCTTTTTATGTCTGATGCACAGTAGAAAGGCTGACTTGTGAAAATGAAATACTGAGAAAGGTTTGCACAGTTCAGCTTTTATTAAAAGTAAAGTAACATAAAGTATGGGAAACTAGAACATGATTTCTGTTAAAAGAACACATCTGAGGAAGTGTTTCTTCAGCTCTCACTGTAATTGATCAAGCATGTGACAAGTGTCCTTTTAAAAGACATACATTCCCTATTGTCCATGCAGGAGACAACGGATCAAGGGCCTTACCTGGGTGATAGGATGCACGGGGTGTTGGGCCCCAAGTCTGACTGCCTGTGGGCAATCACAGGGACAGAACACCCACACAGACATACACATTCAGTGTCTTGCGTTTTCTTTCAAAGAAAGTATTCTACACATCATATACAAATTAAAACTGTACAAAATAAACACAATGTCCAACAAGGGTCTTTTATTGCCACTGAAAGGGGGGAAATAATTTATCATCTCATAGCCAAAGGCAAGAATATAGCACTAGGGCAATTTGTTTCTCCAAATGCCACAATTCCTTGCATTCCTGACTTGGCTGATGCTGACCCACGGGTCACTGAGCCCCGTGACAAGGTGGCACAGAGGCTGTGAGGTTGCGATGGTCCACTGTGGAAGGAACCTCTTCCGTTCCCAAATGCCGGGCGTGCTGCCAGCTCTCCTGCTTGGGCAGTAGATACACAGGAGAGCTGAACACGAGGGGCTACATAGTGCAAACACGTAAAAATTGTATTAAAAAAAAGACATCCCAACCTCCTGGCTCCTCCAGGCTAACAGAGCCTTGAAAACTCCCACTAACTGTAACACGAGTTTGCTCACCCTCTCAACGTGCTCCACGGGGTGGGGGGGTGGAGTGGGGGGCAAATGAGGAGCACAGAGGCTATTTGAAATGGCACCTGTCCCAGTGATTAAAACAATAATTTTTATAAAAGGATGTCAATGGAAGATAAATGCACAAAATAGAACCTAGGTTCAGGATACAGCTCAAGAGGCAAGTAAGTTGTATTTTAGTGGGAACAACTGCAAAACACATACTGAAGACATTCGTAATGGGAATAGTGTGGATTGACTCCTCTTTTAGAGTTCAGAGACAAGATGCTTCAAAAAAAGACATCATTCCGTAGCAAAGGCCTTGCTGCTGGAAGTTTCTAATGAATGAGGGGATGCAAGAGAATGTGGAAGTTCAACTGGACCTAGGAAACGGCAGAGTGTGAGCCTGTGAGGACAGGCCTTTCTCTGCGGCTTCTCCACACCTCCCTCTGCCAGGCTGAGCACCGGACAGTAACGATCCCCAGGAGATAGGCGAGGCCAGCCTCATCTCCACAGAAAGCAGACACCAAAGGTGCAGCTCTGTGCCGCTGAGCAGATTCCAACTCACAGCAGCCCTAGACCAGTGATACACAAGGACAAGTACCGAGTCAAGCTTCATTAACACTTAGCCCGAGGAATTCTAAGAATCACCAGTCAGTTACGTTTTTAAATTTCGCAGTCTCCCTTGAATATAGTTTAAGAAAGAAGAGGCTTATCCATCTGGAGCTACTGAAAATTCAGGTTTTGGAGGGTGACCAAAAAAGGCAAAGGCGTGACAGGGATGGGCTACGTTTGAGAGGGAGTGACATGTTGAATCTAACATTTCATCATCACAGACAATAAAAAGCGATTCAAAAATCCTGAAAAAAATTATCTTATAAAAATATCTACATTAAAATTGTAGCCTGAAAGCTATAGCTTCAATTTCATAAAAAGGCAATCTTTGAAAGGATCTGGCTCAGAAATATACAGACATGACACAACAAATATCAAAGTAAGATAGCTCAAAAAAAAAAAAAAAAGCTTCCTGGGGACACTGCAACTGGTTTGTCATGAAATAGAATTAAGCATTCTTATTGCATAGCAGAAAATGAGGTCACTTTCATTTGCATAATACTGCAACTTTTTTAGATAGAGATGGGCACTGATGAGAAATAACTTTGGAATTCAGAGTCTGACTTCAACGTTTTCCAAATCAGTATCCAATTGGTGTCTTAAGTCGCTTCTAACCTTGGGCCTCAATTCCATTTCATCACTGCAATCAGACTTCCAGGCACACTGCTGACAAGGCTGCATTCACAAGCAGCTGCAGCTCCCCTCGTTGTGGAGAAGGGGGCTCCTCACCTCCAGGTGACCAACAGAGGCTTGAAAAGAAGTCGGCACTGCTTGCAGAGAGAGTCGTACCTAGTGATAAACAGACAGCAGTTTGGGATGGCATCCTTGGGCAGCCAGGGCAGATTGGGTTTTGGCGACAACGTACCAGTGTTCTAGTCCCCTGAGAAAAATGGCACAAGGATGAAATGGTCAAAGTACTGCTGAAAGGGGCTGTGCTTCCTGGGGGGCAGACAAGAGGTGGAACCAATAGCAAAGCTCTTAAAGGGTGGGGTGGGAGAGATAAAATTAGGTGGGGGGACATAAAATTAGCTGGTTGGCTTTCATGGAAAAGGGACCCTTTCTGGGAAGATGTCTCACAAAAAATAACACCCTTCTTATAAACTTGAAGGTCCAGCTTCTAGGTGGTGTGAGTTGGGAAGGAGAATTCACCTTTTATCACAAATCAGAAGTTTGTGTAAATAGCATACATCAAATGCCAGCCTCCCACCACACACAAAGTCCCAGGGATATTTGGGATCATGAGCTCACTCCATCCAATTTAGAGCCAGAAGAGCTCCAAAAAACAGTATTTTCCACCACAGGAAAAAGACCAGAGTTCCAATTAAAAGCAGGTAGGGTTTCCTTTGGAAACCTTTTCTCTTGGCCCACCAAAGGGGAATTTTGGGACCACTTCCCTAAGCTGCTAAAACTCCTGGGTACTTTGGAGCTTTCCAAATGTCTCTCTGAAGTAGCATCTGCTCAACATCAGAAGTTTTCTCTTCTGAAGATTTTAGCACACAATAAATAGACAGTAAATACACAAATGAGCCAACTAGCCAAAGACGAGAGTTATTGTTTCAGACAAGAAGATGGACGCCACTGTCCTGAAAGCATCAGCTTCAGAGCAGCCTAGCTGTACTGGAAGCCCAGCACTGGGATCTACACAGCTGCTCCTCAGCTTCCTGGAGGCTGATCTTGTGATTAGAGAGTTAAAGGAGCCTCCAGGGTGTAAGACCGTTATTCAGATACAAGACTTCCCCTTCCCCATGCCTGAAGTTCCAACATCAGCCACTTGCTACTTTTAGGAGGAGCACAGCTTTAAGGTTCTTTTTTATAAAATGCAAATGACTCCAATGTATCCTCAAATCCCTCCTTTTCCAGACACTTGGAAGTTCTATCATTAATAGTTTTTACCTGTGAATTAGCAAATTCTTCCTAAGCTTCTCATATATTTTAAATAAGTATCCCTAAGAGAAATTACACATCCAGGGCCCCTGGCCATCCCCTCCTTACAGGGGACAGGAGGAGTAGAGGGTGGTCCTGAGGGTTGAGGGGAGGCTATATAGGCCCTTAGGCAGAGGCAGAAGGCAAGAAAGACAAGGACATCAGACAGACTGGGCCATCCTCACAAAGAGCCAAGGGTCAACCCCAGCCAGTATTTAAAGTCATCCAGATTCCTCTAACTGCCGTGACCCCATTTGAAGCAAGGATATGCCTATCTTTGGGCTTGGAGGTAAAGTAACCTTTTCTTTATCCTTCAAACATGAACACCTTGGAGAATGAAATGAATGCTATGAGTAATTAAGCCTGGGTAACAAGTTCAAACAGTGGCCACCCTAAACTGGGCAAGTCCAGAAGTAGAATCTCTTTCTTAAGGCCATTATGGGCAGGGACCTCTTCCGTACAACTCTGGTTGTTTTTTGCTTTATTTTGATCTTGTCTATTTCTTTTTCTCCAGTATGTTACCCAGGACTTCTTTGAAAGGTTTGTCTTCCCACGAGAAGACATAAAATCTCCCAAGCCTGGCCCAGACTCCAGCTGGGCCTACGTCACCTGCTTCCTGGAGGAGCCTGGGGAGGAGCCCGGGGAGGAGCACCGGCAGGGGAGCACTGGAGCCCGCTTGTTCACCATTTCTAGCACAGAGCAGAGGTGCCGCTTTGAGATTGTTCAACTCTTCTGCAGATAAAGAGTTTCAGTAGTCAAGTAATATACACTGCTCTTCGTGCTGGTTACTTCTGGACCTTCGCAGTGTGTCCAAATGGGCCTCCAGAAGACAGCAGCTTTAGTAGTCTCGGGGTCCCCAGGAGCCAAATCCAAAAAAGAGGTTTCTGTTCTGTGATTCGATTTTTAGCAGAGTGAAGGATCAGTTCAGTAGTAGAGAAATCCAGTAGACAATCACACACACCAACTCCTACTTAGTGTCACACACACACACACACACACACACACACGGTCCAGGTTCTGTTTTCCCTGTAGAAACACACACAAAAGCCCAGAGGTGCTGCCTGGGATTGTCAGGAAGCCCACTGCTCAAGGTAGAGGCCAAAGCACCTCAGGGGAACAGGAGGTGAGTCACTGACAGCATTCACACTGCAGAGGCACTCAGCCAGGGCAGAGGAGGGTGGTCCTCACACCACCACAAACTCTCCCAGAGAGTAGAATTCTGTCATCATGGTCCCACGCTGTTGTGAGTCATAGGCAGCACCCCCCTCTCTTCCTCCACCTCCTGGCAGTGGGAGTTTGGGTCACAAAGGCTTGTGAATCACAGCAACACCTGAGATGAAAAGAAGAGAAAGTTATTATCTTAGTTTCTGCAGTTACTCAGAGGCCCAGTGAGTGTGTGAATCCGAAGCATTCTGTCATCCAACTCACTGTCATAGTCAGCTCTGGCTCTCACAACTCTCCATCAGGTTCTCGGGCTGTAAGTCACAATGGCAGGGGAGCCAACCGTCCCACAAACAGCTGGTGACCTCACATCACCAGAGGCATGAAGTCTTTGAGTTAGCATTGCAATTCTTATGGACTACACCACCATTGTGGCTATTGTTAGTTGCCACTGAGTCAACTATGACTCAAAGGAACCCTGTGAACCATCGATGGGAATTGTGCCCTATCCTGAGCCATCCTCACAGTCTCAGCCATGCTCATTGTCACTGTGACTGTGTCAACCCACCTCGCTGAAGGTCTTCCTCTCTTTCACAGACGTTTCCCGGCATGATTACTTTTTCCAAAGATGACTGTAGAATAAATCACTGTCATTGAACTGTGGTCTTGGAAAAGAGTACTGGATATCCCAAAAAGGACAAATGAATTTGTCTTGGAAGAAGGGTAACCAGGGCACTCCATAGAGGCAAGGGTAGTGAGGCTGTCTCACTGGCTTTGGACTTGTCATCAGGAGCACCACCATAGCTAAGAAAAGTAGTGCTGTGGACTCAGGCTGCTAGCAGCTGGCTATTTTCCACACTTACATGTAAGTCCCAACAAGGGATTTGGATCAACAAGCATGACCTCTCAAATACTAGAGACAACAGTCTCATGTCACATCACAGTGCAGCCTCATCTAGTGCCGTTCTGACTCTTGTTCCCAAGTCCAGCACTCAAGTCCAGCAATGCTCACCACTCTCACCGGAAGCAGTTGCAGAGCTCTAAATGTCTGCCCCTTTAAGAAAGGTGGTGAGTTATTCATGTTGACTGTTAGAAGACATCAGAATGAACTGAAAAGAAGGATGAAGTGAATTCATAGACACAGAACTTCATTTCAATTCCAGCTCTGTCATCATCAACCTTCATGTGGTTTCAAGTAAGCCCACTCACATCTAGACCTCAGCTCTCATATTAACTTATTGTCAACTGACTGAAGGATCCCTCTAGTGCCAAATTTAATACTTCAGTAAACTATCTAGATATTCTAGACACATGTGTGTTACTCTTTTAACCAGGGTGAATCAACGTCAGTACCCAACTTTGAAAATCCTAGGGACGACCCTATAATTTTCACTGTAATGAACTGAGGTCATGTGACAGAGAGTGTAGGTTGATTTGACCAACACCCTTTTCACTTTGTATCCTCAACAACAGAAAAATGGGAAATCTTCCTTCCATGCAATTTACAGCCTTAGAAAACCCACCAGAGGGTTCCAACTTGAAGGCACACAACAATAATAACAAAAACATTCTTGCAAGCCAGCAAGTTAGAGGCTCAGTATTCAAGACTCCCCTGCAGCTACAGCCAGCCACGTGACCTAGTTCTGGCCAGTGAGATGGTAAATGCAAATTTGCTGCAACTCTATTCTCCTTCCAGCTTATGTGAGATAGCTCACTGTATGTTGAATTGATAATCAAAAGGCAACGCGCCTCCACCATTTAAAGTTAACAGCAGCTCCCTGGGAGAAAGAAGAACAGTAAAGATTTAGACTTGGAAAACTGATGGAGGGTCATTATGAATTGAAATCAACTCAAAAGGACTGATTTGGTTGATTTATAGGTTTGGTGGTGCAGTGGGTTAAGAATTGAACTACTAAGCAAAAGATTCACAATTTGAACCCATGGTCCACTCCATGTGAAAAAGATGAGACAGCCTGTTCCCAGAAAGATTTACATCCTTGGAAACCCTATGTTGTTATACGCTGTCAAGTCAACTACCACGCATAATGGCCCTATGAACAGCAAGGCTGAACCAACAAATCCTAATTCATGGTGTGTCCACAGGTAAGGAGGTGGCTGAAGCCTTATTCCTTAAGATATACCTACTATGGAAAGGAAACTGAGAAAACATTACTACCAGAATCACAGGATACCCCACTTGCAGAGAGATTCTACTGAGACACCTACTCTGTGCTAAATTCTGCATAACGGTCCAGACACACAGTTTAGATAAAGATAAAACTTACATCCTCAATCCCAGCCGTGTTATCTGACTTTGTAAGTATTCTGCCTGTCCCTCAGGCTCTTCTTTCATAGATAGTTTCCCGCTTTCCCCAGTAAAGCAGCTTCCTACAGTGCTTTTTTAAAATAGAAACTTCTTTTTTTACATTATGAAAACAATATATTCTCATTATGTAAATATAGAATATACAAATGAGCACAAAGAAAACACTACGCCTGTCATACACATCATCTTTTTGGCATGTTTTCTGCCTTTAATAACTTGCAGTCCCTGGGTGATGCAAATGGTTCACACATTCAGCTGTTAACCAGAAAGTTGGACATCTGAGTCTACCCAGAAGCACCTTGGAAGAAAGGCTGCAAAAAATTCCAGCATTTGAAAAGACTATGGAGTACAGCTTCACTCTGGCACACATCTGATGGGGTCTCCGTGAGTCAGTGACAATTGATTAATAAGAATCATGATCATTAACTGATTTCTACATGCCAGCCATCACTGTGCTGAACACACATATTACTGCATTTCTGTTTCAGCCCTCAGAGACTTGGTGTTATTTTATTCCCATTTTAAAGATGAGAAGACAGAGGTTCAATAATAGTGAATACCTTGTCTAATGTCTCAGGATTAGTGGCAAGGTGGGAATTAAAATTCAGATCTGTCTCCATAACCCAGATCCTCAAGCATTTACTACTCTACTGCTTCACAGGACAAGACGACTCAGCTCGCACAGTATGTACAATTTTACATCCTCCTCTTTTAATATAATAACAGTATGTCACAAACATTTTCTCCCAACATTAAAAATACTTTCACCATAAATGCACACAGACAGTATACAGTTTATTTCATTTTTTTCCACGCCTGACATTAAGTACTTCTATAATGCTCTAATAAATAAGGGTTTGTCCAGAAATTTAATTTCTGAAAAGAAGACCTGTATCTTATTCTATCCAGGAGGCAGATACAAACAAATCACTCAGTCAAAGGGTCTGAAGACAGAATTGTGCACTTGATCATTCCCTGTCTACCTTTTCCTCAGGGTGGGCAGACGAAGAAGACATGGGCTTAAATATTCAGCACATGTGTGAAATTCTAACCACTTACACTTAAACCTTCCCCTCTCATTAAGCTTCAACTTACAAAATATCCTGCCCTTCCAACTGCAGTTTTGAAAAGAAAATTATAAGACTGGTTTTAATAATTAACTCTGAGAATAGAACCACTCCAGCACCAAAATGCCACAATTTTTTCCCCACACTGACTCAATAAAAAATATGAGGAGGTGTGAAAATTCTTGAATGAGAGGGAAAAAAATAATTCATAACAATTGAAGCTTTGTGTTGAAAGACTGTGACCCCCCAACTCCCTCTCCTAAGTGCAGGATGCTCATCTTCTTTCACACTATAATCGAAACAACATGGAAAGACTCCTTCCTAATGGAAAGTATGACTAAGCAGCGCATCACAAGAGCTGCGATCTGTAGTAAAGGAGATTGTCTTTAGATACCACTGATAGCAGAAGGAAACACTGCTAGGTCTTGGGCCACCCTCACAATCTTTGGTATATTTGAGTCCATTGTCCCAATCACTGTGTCAATCCATCTCATCTTCCTCTTTTTTTTCTTGACCCACTACTTTACCAGACACGGCGGTTTTTCTCCTAAGCCTAGTCCCTCCTGATAACACACCCAAATGTAAATGGAACTCTCTCCATTCTCGCTTCTCAGGCACATTCTGGCTGCACTTCTTCCAAGATAGGATTGTTGTTCTTTCAGGAGTCCATAGTATATTGAATACTCTTTGCCAACACCACCATTCTAAGGCAACATTTTTTATTCAATCTTCCGTATTAGCTTAGCAATCTTCACATGCACAAGATATGATTACAAATACCTACCATGGCTTGAGTCAGGTGCATCTTAGTCTTTAAACCAACTTCCTTGGGTTTTAGGTCTCTAAAGAAGACCTTGATCGCAAATTTGCCCAATGAAACATGTCTTTTGATTTCTTGACTGCTATTACCATGAGAATTGCACGGGGAAAATCTGTGGTCAGGGACCTCTCTAGAGTACTGAGAAGCAAGGATGTCAGTCTAGAGACTAAAGTACGCCTGATTCAGGCCATGGTCTTTACAATTACTTGCTGTGCATTAGAGAGCTGGACAATGACAAAGGATAACAGAAGAATTGATTGATCCCTTTGAGTTCTGGTGCTGGAGAAGAGTGTTAAACATACCATAGACTGCCAAGAGAACAAAGAGGTCTGTCTTGGAGAGGTGAAACCAAGTTTCTCTCTACAGGCTAGAATTTTGAAGCTCTGTCTCACATACTTTGGGTACGTCATTGGAGAAGGATATCATGCTCAGAATGGTAGAGGGACAGCATACAAGAGGAAGACCCTGGATGAGACAGACTGACACAGTAGCTGGGGTACAGGGGATAGGTATATCAGAGACAATGAGATTAGCGCAGGATAGAGCATGGTTCAGAGCTTTTGTACATAGGATCACCATGAATCATAAGCAACTCAACAACACATAATAACAACATTACTATCAGAAAAGCAGAGGATCAGAGTAGAGGAAGACCCTCGACCAGGTGGATTAACATGGCAACTGCTGCAATGGGCTCTAATGTGTAAGAAAGTGTGAGGATGGCACAGGATAGGACAGGATTCAGATCTGTTGTTCATAGGGTCATTATGAGTTGGACTCAACTCATAGGCACCTAACAACAACATTACCATGAGCATTAATTATATGTCCAAAGAGAAATCATTGCTGGCTTCAAGCTTTTCTCCATCTATCATGATGTTGCTTATTGGTCCAGTTGTGAGAATCTGATTTCTTCATGCTGAGATGTAATCCATACTGCAGGCTGTAGTAAATCAGTAAATGCTTCAAATCTTTGATTTCATAAAGTTAGGTTGCTCCATCTACATATCATAGATTTGCGTTTTGAGGGTTGTTGGGTTTTTTTTTTTTTGAGGGGTGGGATTTAGTTATTTTGCCATTGTAACAGCAGTCAAGAAATCAAAATGTTGGGGAATGTTGGGGAGGAAGGGAGGGCCTCTGGTCAGGACAGATGGCCTAAGCTCCGGATAAGTGCAAGCCTCCCAATGGCCTTTAATACAGGATAGAGAAAGCTCTCCTGTGTTTGGCCATACCAGTTTGAGAGAGTTTGCCACCTGGAAAGACGGCTGCCACATCTTTTGAGCTGAGAGGGGTCTGCATGAGGCTGAGGTTCTCCTATCCAATCTACATGTCCCACATCTGCAAGCCCACCCTATCCTGTCTTCCTGTTTACTTGCTTGTCTATAAGTGCGCTGCAGCCCTCAATAAAATTGAGCTGGATCAACCCTCTGAAAGGTTCCCGGACTGGTATGTCTCCATCATGCTTACCCCCACCAAGGTATTGCTATTCATTGCTTGCGAATGGACGGTGACATCAAAAGACATGTTTCATAGCGGAAATTTACTGTCAAGAACCTCTCCAAAGTGCCAATGGGCAATGATGTTAGTTTGAAGATTAAAGTGCACCTGATCCAAGTAAGCCATGGTATTTTCAGTTGCTTCCTATGCATCTGTAACTTAATAATGAACAAGGAAGACTAAAGAACAAGTGATGCCTTCAAATTACAGTGTTGGAGAAGAGTGCTGAATATCCCAAAGACTATCAAAAGAAAAAATAATTCTTGTAGGAAGTGCAATCACAGTGCACATAACAATAACTCCTTCTCTGACCCTCCACCTTACTCAGCATGATGGTTTTTCCCAAGGGCCTCTCTTGACAATTGTCAAAATAATGTGAGATGAAATTTCACCACCCTTGCTTCTAAATGAGAAAATCATAGGTTTTTAATGAATCTTGCTTTAATCTTGATGTCATATTATTCTTCATATATAGTCCATATTCCAGAATTATTTGCTCAACATACTGATTAAATAAGTATGATGAAAAGACACAACATTAGTAACACACATTTCCTGATTTTTAACCATGCATTCTTCTCTCGTTCTGTTCAAAAGACTGCTTCTTAGTGTACATACAGGTCCTGCATGAGTATAATTAAGTGTTCTGGAATTGTCATCCTCAATTTTACTCAGAATTTGTTTAGATCCATATAGTCAAATGCATTTTTACAGTGAATAAAATATAAATAAACATCTTTCTGGTATTCTCTGCTTCCAAGACCTACCTGATGTTGACAATAATATCCCTTGTTCCACAATCTCTTCTGAATCCACATTAAATTTCCGGTAGTTTCTTGTTTATGCATTGCTCTAATCATTTTAAAATTATCTTCAGCAAGATTTTACTTGGATATGATAGTAATAATATTGATAATTTAACTCAGTTGGTATTCTGTCAATTCCTGAAGCCTTATATTTTTGCCAATACCTTCAGTTTAGCTTGGACTTCTTTCAGTACCAGTGGTTCTTGATCACATGCTATTTTCTGAAATGGACAATTATCAATCAATTCTTTTTTGGTATAGTGACTCTGTGTTTTTGTTCCATCTTCTTTTGACCCTTGCTGCATCATTCAATATTTTGTCCATAGACTCCTTTAGGATTGCAACTCAAGGCTTGAATTTTATTTTTTTTTTCAATTATTTATGCTTTAGGCTTGTCAAGTATGTTCTTTTCTTTTGGTTTTTAACTCTAGGTTTTTGCATATTCCCTTCTAATATTTTGCTTTGTCTTCTTAAGGCATCTTTTGAAATCTTTTATTCAGCTCTCTGACTTCATCATTTCTTTCTTTCACTTTAGCTTCTCCACATTCTAAAGCAAGGTTAAGAGTCTTTTGTAACATCCATTTTGGATTTTTCTTGTCTGTTTAATGACTTTTGCTTACATCACCCTATTCTTGAGATCACCTCTAAACTTAGGAGGATATATCAGCAGGCATATTTTGGCTCTCGTGACTTGTTTTAATTTTCTTTACCTTCAACTTGAAATTGCATATGAACAATTAATAGTCTCCTCTATACTTGGCCCCTAGTCTTCTTCTTATACTGATGGCATGGAATATGCTTACTAAATAAAAGTCAGTGATAATGAAAACTCCATTTCTGGAAAAATCTGGGATGGGAAGATGGCTACATCATGGGCATATGTTCACTTGTCTCTTTGTATAATGCCCCAACTCTGGCAGCAACAACACTGAGCGACTCACTTCCTCTTCCCTCCTTTGGTTTCTTCTCCTTCACCAAGCTCAGCATATACATTACTCAAGTAGCAGCCTTCATATCCACTTTATATCTTACTTCTCCCTCCAAGCCTTTTGCTAGAACATCCTATTCCCTAACATTTTGCTGGACTTGAATCTTGAATTTGCATGTATTAGCCGTGTGATCTTAAGTTACATAAACTCCTAAGCCTCAGTTGTATCTTCTGTCAAATGGAAGGATACAGATCTGCTCAACGTACAGGACTGCTGAAAATACACAAGTACACTGGATCTAACACATTGCCCTGTGGCACAGACAGTGAGTATAACAAAAAGGCAGCTATGGTGTGATTGCAACCTACCCTCTAAGTTTAATTGAGTTACATCCCCTACAGGAAACATCATCTGACTTCCAGTCCTCACCTATCTGTATGTCCTAGAGCATAGACAGTGTATTCTGTTAGAACCTGTGTATGTATCATCTTGTATTCATTTTGTGTTATGTGTAGGCAGGTTTCAGCCAATTAACTTAATTTCCAATTTAATTGCTGGAAGGAAGATTTGAGACTTGTATCTTATTCCACCTAGAGAGTGAGACAGTAAATAAACCAAAAATGGCAATGAAATTCTAAAATCTCTTACGACCTCTCAGATCAGTTGGAAATCATTCCCTGGGTCAATGGTCAAGATGAACTCTAAGACTACATTTAAGAAAAGTAGGGAAACAAGTTCTGATTATCAGCATCTGTTGTGAGTGCAGAATACAGGAGTCGGGGGTACGTGACAGTTACCTGACACTCCTGGAAGAGGCGCTTAGCCTCAAGTTAAGACTTACTCCCCTTCACCCTCCACGTGTTAAAAGCCTCAGGGTTGCTGGTGAAGGAGCAGAGATGAAGCACACTCACCCGCATAGCTCCGGCCCGTGCTCATGTTGGTCGGCAGCAGCGTCCACTTGTCTGTGACTGGATTGTAGTATTCCACCGAAGCCAAGTTGCAGGACCCATCATCGCCTCCAACCACATACAGGAGCCCGTTTACCGCACAGACCCCTGGGAATCAACAGAAGTCACAGCAAACATTACACGAGGAACTCAGAGGGACAGGTACAGGTAGAAACAAAGCGGGATTCCCCTGGAGCTGCTTCTCTGCCCTTTGTGGCCACACGGCATAGTGTTGATCCACAGGTCTGAGTCTGCTCCGTGGAAGGACACACAGAGCAAACCCTGGGCTCTGGGGGACTCCCTTCCTAACAAGCTTGTTGCTCCAACCAGGAGGATTCCCCTCTGACATGGTTCTGTGTTCCCTTGTTTCCTATGACCCAATACTGGGTCAGGATTCCTCTCTATTCAAATGCACCCCACAGTGCATGCAGATCCCACATCCAGCCTATGTCACACAAGAAGACAATGCAAGGACCTGTGTACTGCTACCAAGTCCTTGCTTCCATCAAGTTATCGAAACTATCGAAATCTTAATAGGAGGAGAAAGTCTATCTTTCTCCCACAGAGCAGCTGATGGGTTCAGACAGCCAACCTTTCTGTTAGCAGTGCTACATGTAACACATCATGCCCTATATTCTTTATTAATGGAAATGGTTATCAGGTATTTGAATTAGGATATAGCCAGTTATGCCAATATCAGGTAAAAAGATACAGTGTTGTGAAAAGATATGAATTTATAAAGAATTAGAAAGTGGATTTTTTAAAAGCAGGTTCTAAAACAGCAGTTTATTAGTTTATCCTTTTTATTATAAAAAAATAGAAATATCTAGGGGAGCTCTGGTGGCCTAGTGGCAAGAAGCTGCACTGCAATTCCAGAGGTGCATGGTTCGAATCCACCAGATGCTCTGCCGGGAAAGGAGGGACAATCTCCTCCTGTACCAGTCAGATCTGATTTGACGGTACACAAAATAATAATAAAATAAAATAAAATTTAAAAAAAATAGAAATATCTGTCAGTGAAGGTATATATATATATATCTCATGGGAGAAGACTGTCTATCCTTCTACCATGGAGAAGCTGGTGGCCTCTAACCCTGTGCCTTTGGGATTGCAGTGCAATTTCTTGCCACTAGACCACCAGAGATATAGATACAGATTTACAATTAACTATTGGACTATAATGAATACAACTATCTTGTTGTTGTTAGGTATTGCTGTGCTGAGCACAACCTGTAGAATGGACCCCGTCCCATCCTGTGCCATCCTCACAATCATGATCAAGCCCACTGCTGCATCAGCCCACTGCGACATCACTGTGTCATCCCACCTGGATGAGGATCTTCCTCTCTTCTGCCGACCCTCCACCTTACCAAGCATGGTGCCTTGGAAACTGTCTTGAGGGTCCCGTAATTCCTCACTCATGTGGCTTAAGGCCAAACATCAGGTTCCATCATGGCTGATTTAGGCAACACGTAAATTAACCTTCTCTCTGCTTACACTTCCGACAAGTCAGTGACAAATAGGTTCAGCCAGCAGGTACTAGAAGCATAAAGGAAGGAGCCTGACTAGAAGTCCCCTGTTCACCTTCTTCACCCAGGAAGTTAGGCTGCATCAATACTTTGCTACAAGGAGGTATAAAGTGGGATACAACAAAACAAGACTCAGCCCATGATAGAAGTTATAAAAGGAAATCACTGTTGGTTGCCACTGAGTCAAGCCTGAACAGAAGGCAATTGCCACAAGGAGTTTGAGTGGCTGGAATCCTTGCAGGAGATTGTTGGCTCTTTATCTCACAGAATCAATGGATGGGTGGATTCGAATCATCAACCTTTCCATTAACAATCAAACACTAAGCATTGAACCATTTGTTGCTTCTTGTCAGGTGCCCTTGAGACAACTGTGACTCCTAAAAACTATCCTGAGCCGTCTGCATCGTCTCTGATATACTCAATCTCGTTGCCACAGTCTCCATGTCAATTCATCTTTAGGCTCAAGAAATAAAAACCTAAGCTCTGACCTATCACTTGTCCAGACATGAAGGAAACAGGAAAACAGTAGGAAAGTAAGGAAGTGCAAAGGAGGGAGTACAGGATGTGGTTCCACTAGAGATTTAATCAAGGTCAGCTACCCCTGAGATGAAGGAACCGGCCTCAGAGGGAAGTGAGAGGTTCGCAGAGCAAGGCCACTGACTAAGACGAGACAAATGAAATGTCACTATCTGGCCACAGCTCCATGCTCAGCTACAGGGGGCAAAGCTGCCATCCAGAAGAGCTCGTTGGAGTACAGGAAGGCATCACTCTTCACTGGGAGGGGAGAGATCCCCTCTCCATCTAAGGAGAGCTTGCAGTTTGCTTTGGAGTCTCACGATTTTCCCTTCCCCAACTGAATCCACCAGCTGCTCCACAGGAGGATGGCCTATCTCCTCTCATGTGATTTACCACCTCTAAAAACCTGCTTGTAGGGTCAGCTAGGAGTCAGTTCCAACTTGACAGCACTCAACAACAAAACAACCAACAATCGAAGGCTTACACAGCAAATGGGCAGGCTCTGTCTTGGATTAGAAGCTCAGCACCAGGCCCTGGGAGCCCCTCTCCAAAACCTCTCTTCAGGAAAGGGTCTGCAGGGAGAAGCGGACCACAGCCTTACAAAAGAAAAATTGGGAGAGCAGCAATTACCTGCATTTCGTCGGCACATGTTCATATCTGCCACCTGCTTCCAGGTATTTGTTCCAGGATCATAAACTTCAACACTCTTCCTCACCAGGGGCCCGTCATGCCCTCCTGTGGCATACAGCTGGCCACTGAGAACTCCGACCCCTGAAAAGCAGAGCACAGAATCCCAGCTTCAGGCTGGAGGTGGTGATCAGAAACCAGGAGACCTAGTGTCCATCCCTGGTCACCATCAACCATCAAGGGGACCTCAGATTCCTCGTCTGTAAAACAAATATAATTATACCCTGTCTACTCCATGAAGATGTCCATCTGAAAAGTTGAAGAATATTCAGCAAATATGACCTCATAATTTTTTAACAGTTATGGGTTTTGTTAGGGAAGTTACAAGTTGATAACAGCTTAGTATTCAGGATGAGGAAAGACTCAGAATAGAGTTCTTCAATCCGGGCCTCTTCTCAGCCATGCCAAAAGGCAGGCCTCTCTCTAACTCTTCTGCCTGCTCTGCCTTTTTTTAAAAGGCACCAGTAGCATTCTGCACAACATCCTGCTCTGCCACAAACCCAGACTTGAAGGCAGCCAGCTCGAGCTCTGTGGGTATGACCCTATGTGTGTTTAAGAAAATTTACTTATCTACATATATAAACACATACATAAATATATATATATATATATATGTTAATATACAAATATACATATGCATTCATTTATATATGTTGTTGTTAGATGCCACAGAATAACTACAACTCATAGCAACCTTATGAACACGAGATCTGCACCTTTTCCTATCCTGCACCGTTCTCATGATCTCTATCCTGCTTAAGGTCATTGTGGTAGTCATTGTGTCAATCCATTTTGTTGAAGGCATATGTGGAAACTATAGAACAATATCATTGATTTCACATGCAAGCAAGATTCTACTGAAGATTATCCAAAAACAACTGGAACAACACATCAGCAGAGAACTGCCAGAAGTCCAGGCTGGGTTTAGAAGGGGTCGTGGTACTAGAGATATTGTAGCTGATGTTAGATGGATCTTAGCTGAAAGCAGGGAATACCAGAGGAATGTCTATCTGTGTTTTATTGGCTATGCAAAGGCGTTTGACAGTGTGGATCATAACAAACTGTGGCTGACTCTGAGAAGAATGGGAATCCCAGAACATTTAATTGTGCTAATACGAAACCTATACTTGGACCAAGAGGCAGTCGTCAGAACAGAGCAAGGAAACACTGCATGGTTCAAAATTGGGAAAGGCATATGCCAGGGATGTGTCCTATCTCCATACCTTTTCAACCTGTATGCAGAACAGATTATCCGAAAGGCTTGGCTCTATGAGCAGAAGTGTGGCGTCAGGATTGGTGGAAGATCTATTAACAATCTCCGTTATGCAGATGACACAACCCTGCTTGCTGAAACTGAGGAGGACGTGAAATGCTTGCTGCAGAGGGTCAAGGACTGCAGCCTTCAGTATGGATTGAGGCTCAATGTCAAGAAGACAAAGATTCTCACCACTGGACTAATTGGCAGCATCAGGATGGATGGTAAAGAGATTGAGATTGTTAACAACTTTAGTCTGCTTGGCTCCATGGTCAACACTCTTGGCAACAGTAGCCAGGAAAGAAATCAAAAAACGTATTGTGATGGGAAAGTCTGCTGTTAGGTACCTCTCCAAGGTACTGAAGAGCAATGGTGTCACTCTGGAGACTAAGGTGTGTCTGATACAGGCTATGGTCTTTGCAATCACTTGTTATGCATCAGAGAGTTGGACAATGACTAGGGAGGATAGAAGGAGAATTGATGCCTTTGAGCTGTGGCGCTGGAGAAAAGTACTGAATGTACCATGGACTACCAAGAAAACAAACAGATTCATCCTGGAGAGGATTAAACCAGTCTACTCCTTCGAGGCAAGAATTCTGGGGTTTCATCTGACATACTTTGGACATAGTGTAAGGAGGGACTTGTGGAGGAACATCATGCTTGGGAGGGTGGACGGACGGCGCAGAAGGGGAAGACCCTCTAGGAGGTGGATTGATTCAGTGACTGGGGTGATCAGGATGGGTGTGTCAGAGACAGTGTGATTGGCACAGGATAGAGCAGAGTTGAGGGCTATTGTACATAGGGTCGCTATGAGAGGGAGAGGGAGAAAGAGAGGGAGAGGGGAAGAGAGAGGGAGGGGGGAGAGAGAGATCATATGCAAATATAAACCAAAGGGTTGTTAGAAGTCCACCCGCCAAAATAGTAGAGGAAGGAAAATAATACAACAATAAATGAATGAAAACCCAACCTCTCTGTAAGCCTTCATTAAAATCATAATTTTTTAAAAAAAGAAGTGAAAAAAAACAGTGAAGATGCTAATTTCTGAATGGTAAGATTATATGCTTTTTCTTTCCTTCTTGACTAGTTCCTTTACAATGTGGTATTACTTTTATTGTTGTGTTGTTGTTGTTGATTGCCGTCGAGTCAAGCATGACTCATAGAGACCCTATGAACAAAAGACCTGATGAAGCCTCTCTATAATTATCATCTCTCAAAGTTCACAGAGTTTCCAGGGGCATATTGTTTAGGAAGTGGATGCCACTCCTGCTTCTAAGTCTTATATTAGTTTAATAAAATAGGGGTTTTTTAAAAAATTGAAAACAGTACTCTGCAGTTCTGCTGAAATTAGGATGACAAGATCACCCTGCCTGCCTTTTAAGCTGCTCTTGTTCTCTGCCCACCTGCTCCCATCCAAGACTGCAGAGTGGATATCAGACCCCTCTGGATGCTGGCCAGCCTGTGCAGAGTTTGAGAGGTACATCATTTAAAATAATCTTTCAAAAGCCTTTAATAAGAATTTCCTAGAAACAGAAGCTCCTCTGCCTCTACAACTCAGCCACTACATGATCCCTCCACTTTCTTGTCTCAGTCTTTCCAAGTGGAAGAGCTGGACCATCAGTTTGCAGAGGCCGTTCAATGGGCCAGTTGTGTCTCACAACTGGGGAGCTTCTAGAAACACAGAGTCCATGGGCTCACTCCCAGAGACACCAGTCAGCAATTTGGAAAAAGCTTCCCTGGAGATTTGGAAGTGGAACCAACATTTCAGAACCAAGGACCAAATTTCTAGGACATAAACCTCACGTAGACCACAACTATGTCTATCTTATCCACATTTGCTTCCCTGTGTCTAGCAGTAGCAGAAGGTTCTCAACAAACTATTAAATGACTAAATACGCATAGTCCATAGGGAGTTGTACTGATGACCCAAACACAGTGCCTTCTGTGGTCATTCAAATCCACCAGCAGCTTCATGAGAGAAAGATGAGTAGATGAAAAATTTTGAGATTTTTCAGCCTCCAAAAACCCGCAGGAGGGTCACCTGTCAGCCAGTTTTGGCTTTTTGAGTTCTTAGCAGTTTCCTGAAACGAACAGCAGATGGCAGTGTTTTACCAACAATGGTAATCTGGTCCTGTATTTGGTTTTCATAAACTGTTCCAAGGCTGTCTCACTTTTTCTACCTCTAAACTCAGCAGGGACCAGCACACCCTGGGGCCCAGAGATGGCCTCCTTTCCCCGTAACCATCTGCTGGTGTTGCCCACATCCTGTTGAGGAAGCAAGCAGCCTTGCAGGGCACTGGGGGGGGGGCATCACTGACCCAGCAACTCAGTCATTGCTTTTGTAGGGTTTCATCTATGAACTGAGAGCTCTCTCTGGTGGCCTAGTGGCAAGAAGCTCACAGATCAAATCCACCAGCTGCTTTGTGAGAGAAAGAGGGCAATCTTCCATATAATTTATTGCCTCTGAATACTTGCTGGAGGGTCAGCTATGGATCAGATAACAACATCCATGAATGCTCACCCAGAGGCTCCTAGAAAGGGACACCTCAAAGGGCCTTAGGCAGCCACCAGCCAGGGTCTCTGGTCTCTAAGTCCTCAGCCATCAATATTCCAGGACAAATACTTGGGTTCCCAACTCAGAGGTAAGCCTTCCTGAATCTCAGGACAGTGAACACTGAAGAAAGGGAACCAAAGGTCAGGACTCAGACCTTAATCTTAATGGGGCAGCTCACTTCCATGGCAGGGGTCATCCTCTAAACGGGGGTCACTGTGCCTCCCAAGGACACAGGCAATACAGCTGACACCACCCAAGGCTTCCAGCCGAAGTGACAGGTAAGACCAATCACATTACCTCCATGAGCGATAGCTCCCCAAGAAGCTTGGCAGGCAGAGGCAGCTGTAGCTTCCAAAGACAGCTCCATTTACAAGGATGGACTTGCATTTTCAAAGACAGGCCTGTCCACAACTTCACCCAGGGGGCCTGAGCACACTGCCTGCTGCATAGGTATTCCTAGAAGCAACCACACACACGCTGCCTGCCGGTCTGCTCCTGCGGAACCCACTCTACAGCCTGGAGCTGTGGACACTTGTTCTCACACCTCAAGTCACAGTAGAGATTTCAAGGAAGTGCAAAGAGAACTCTACCAAGACTTTATAAATTCAATTACTAAGAGAGTTTTACTAAGAGAAGAAAACTGAGGATTTTTTAAATAGAATTGGACTTCAGGGAACATCTACTGTAACCTACTCATTTCATATGACGGGACAGTTCAAGGTCACATGAAAGCTAAAGCAGACGCATGTTCAAATCTCAGGCTCCTTGTTTTTTTAGGCATTGGCTCAACTTTCAGGAAGGGCCAACCTATTAGGATCAGAAAAGATTTCAAAAGGACAACCTCAAATCCATTGCTGCTGCTGTTGTTGTTAGGTGCTGTTGCTTGGAAGATGACTTAGGGTAACCCTATGAACAGGCCCTTTATACTGCTTCAAACAAGAGGCTCTGGGGCTCCAACCAACTTTTAATCACAAAGGCCCACCCACTGGGTCCTAATTTGTTTAAACAAGAGACTCCCAGCCCACACTTGACTGTTAATTAAATAATAATGACCTACCAGCCCACAACTGACTGTTAAATAAAAAAAGGTCTATCTTCAGATCCCAACTGATTAAAAGAAATGCTGCTGGTTACAACTCATAGCAACCCTGTGTGTAGAACAGAGTTGAACTACCTTCTGTGGTTTCCAAGACTATAAATCTTACAGAAGTGGAATTCATCTTTCTCATCCAGAGCAAGCTGGTAGATTTGAACTATCAACCTTACAGTTACCAGCCTAAGGCTTATTCCACTGCAGCACCAGGGATCTTTCTGCAAGGACAACTCAAAGTCATTCTTGCAAGTTGGAATGGCCTCTTAGTAGACCCTGCAGCGAGTTTCTGAGGCTGTAAATCACACAGGAGGAACTTGCTCATCTTTCTCCCATGGAGCACCCACACAGAGGTACTGTTCTGGAATTAGCAGTGCGGTTCCCTACATACCATACCACCAGAGCTCCCCCATCAAAGACAAGGTCCCTAAAAATAACACGTTAAGTACAAAGCGTCTTAAATAGAATCATCCATTCTTTTAGCCTGTGAGCACACAAGAGGATCTTGGAATATATTGAAAATAGTGTAATGTTTAAGAAATGTTGAGGTCATGTGTTTAGTGCTATATAATGTGATCCCAAACCAGTCTTCAAAGATAAAGGAGGGGGGTGGAAATAGACAAAGAAACAGCCTTGGGGTGGGGGGGAAACTCCTCTGTGGGTTTCCTTCCCAGAAGTCATGTGGCTTCCCCACTGGCCAGGTCAGCGGGCAGAGTGCTGTGCACTCACCACAGGAGCTGGAACAAAGGCTGGTGCCCCTGGCTGCCCTCTCGGACTTTTTCCTAGTGGAGAAGACAAGCAGGAAGGAGGAGCTGTTGCTCCACTTTCCAAGAAAATAAAATCCCCAAGGACCACACAGCTACTAGTCTTTCCGCCAAAGGTGAAAGTGAAAACCCACTTGAGGAGTCATTTTCATGTAGGGAAGGAGGTCAAAGTGGGGGAAAGGTGGACCATGAGTGCTTTACCAGATATTAATGCTAATACCTTGGCTTTCGATTACCCAAACAGAAATTCAGACAGACAAGCTTTAGCTTTGTGCACTGAAGCATGGGAATAGCAATGCTTATTCTCCTGGCTCACAGGAACAAGATTCTAAAGCTTTACAGTTACAAAAGCTAACTCAGGAGTGCGACAGACCTTAAGTTACTAATTCCATCACCTTAACACTCAAGCCTTCCTGGACTGACTTTCTCAATCTGTTCAGTGGAATTAATACTGCCTCTACATTTTAGGCCTGAGTGAGGATTAACTAAACCAAGGTGCTTAAAGAGCACTGTACACTCTCACCTTCAAGACATGTAGACAAATCCACAGGAATTGAAAGGATGATAATGAAGAAAACATTATCTCATCTGGGCACCAGCAAAGTGACCCCTGACAAGCTAAATTATAAATGCTCATTGCCCAACTACAAAGGTACTTACAGGGTTGTACACAAAGGAAAGGAAGGAGATAAGATAGTATATTGTTTAGTTGTTGGTCACAAGATCCACCTGTGCACAAAAGAAAGCCATAATCTGCAGCCTTGGCCTCCCCCATACCTGCACCGCTGCGGCGGGTGCTCATGTCAGCCACGTAGGTCCACTCGTTGGTCGCTGGGTTGTACTGCTCCACGGTGCTCAGACACTGGCGAGAAGCACCATCATAGCCCCCAACAGCATACAGTTTTCCTGGAACAGAGAAACATTCCTGACGGAGCTGCTGGAGGCACTGACACTGGCCTAAAGCTGGGCAAACCTCCACCCTTGAGCCATTGTGGCACTGTGACCTCAATCAGAGCTCTGAACCCCTAGCCTCTGGGGAGACCACTACCCCCTTCCCCAACAGGCTAGGGTCCATCATATCTCTGCCTTCTCCTCCTCATAAGCAATGAGTACTTTAGAAGTAGCACTGACCTGCTTTCTAAATATACCCTCCCAGATCCCTGGCTTGAAGCTACGGCCTAGCACCACTGGAGTTCAACATATTCATCTTCTCTAGAACATATATGGTAAACTGGACTGTCCAGCTATGGACAAGTAGGCATGCCTACTGGCTCATAAGTCACAGTGGCAGGTGTGGGTGTAGGGGTGTGTGTGTGTGTAGTCTACAATGAGGACTCAAACCCCATCTTATCCATTGTTACAGCTCATTCCTAAATTCTAGCAAGAGAAGTTTGTACATGGGGTATTTTGTGTACACCTCGGCCTTTATTGGCTGATATTTATCTGCATAACCCCTTGTGACCCAAGGCAGGCATATGAGTCCTGAAGTGCTATCATCCATTTAGAAAAAAAAATAAAAATAGCTAAAGCTAATAGCTAAGAGTATCTTTTCTGCCCGGGGCTGCAGAATGATGTTGAAGGTGCATCAGATTTGTTTCTGAGCTGTTCCAGGACAGAGATGGAAATGTTTTAGGTTTGTCACATAGTCTTAGAAAGCAATGGGAGGTCTCTTCTGGATATGGAAGCAAGGTGGCTCCTACTTCAATTGGAGCTTGGGACCACAGGTTTATAACTACAACCGGCACACCAAGGCTTCTGAAATACTGTCGACTAGACAGATATCACCAAATGCAAATCCTTCTCATGGGATAACTCAATAGATTATTTTGTGGAGTGTCATTATGTGCTTTCTTAATTAAGAGATAGCAAGAGTACAATTAGTACGTGAGCATCAGCAGTTATTTTGTTGGAAAGTGGCTTTGGGGGTCAAAGTTATACTCTACCCCCAGGACTACTATTAGTTCTATCAATAGGAAATTATTTCTCCTTCAATTTGCACAGAATCTGGTTTTGTTTTCTCACTCAGAGTGCACTCAGCTCACCCCACTGAAGAAAGCAACAGCTCTTCCCCTAATTTTGTCTGATCTAGAGGAAAAAATAAATTGCTCAGCAGCTCCTCTAGGGCCCAGGTCACACAAAGTGGGTGCTAGGTCAGTGCAATGACCTACCCAGCTCCCTGCCTGAAACTCTCAGGAAGGAGAGAGGCCTGGGATGTGGACAACCTGAGAAGCTTAGTGTCTGTCTAAAGAAGGGGGAAATGGTACATGGGAACACAGAGCCCTGCAGCCTTTTCTTTCTGAAAGGGCCAGAGGGAGTAAGAGTATCACAGCTCCTCACTGCCACAGAGGAGAAGACAGATAAGGAGTCCTTATCCCAGCCCTACAGTGCCTCAAGAGCCACACCAATAGCAAGAGGTTCGTTTATTTGTTGCTGACTCACAGACTCACAGTTGTGGTACTGAGAAAGGGGTTTATTAGGGAAGTTGAAGAGTAGGGAAGACAAAGAATATCGTCCAATACAAGTCCAGGTTTTAGCCTAAGTTCCAAGGCACAATTCTTCAATTAGTCCAGACTCTAATTTCAATTCAGCAGGAAAATCCAAATTGTCTAGTAAGGTTTACCTCAGAGCAGTTATAAGTCAGCTTGGCCTTCAAGCATCCAGCAAGAACAGCAAAAACATTTAACTTTGGCTGGCATAAACACAAGAAGCCTCAGATCGCACTTTGCCACAGTTTCTCCACAGCAATGCTACAGTCTCCTCCACCATTGCCAGGGTCTTGCCACCAGGGTCTCACTCCAGTCTTCCTTTCCTCAAGTCTTGCTGCCACAAGCTGAGCTCACCTCAGGTCTTTTCTGCCCAGAGTGTGAAGCACTCTTTCTCTTATCCTAGTTTCACAGCTGTTGATGATTTGCAAGACCATGTCTAGGCATTTAAGGTAACTAGAGACCAGAGGGGACTAACTTTTAGGCTATCACCACACTGTTGAACAACTGTCTTCTCTTTGCTCAAGAGTTTCTGCGTAGACTTGGATCCTCATTGTCTTCTCCTATAAAAGACTTCCTCTTGGTAGCCAGCAGCAAATTACCACAATCCCTCTTATTGCTTTTCAATATCATTTACACACTATAGATGATGAGAGAGAAGAAACTAAGCCAAGTGTACATTTGGATCCCCTTACATTCTGTCCTCAATATTTTAAGCAAAGCTATAAGTTGTGTTCTCTGTAGCCCCAGGGTGACCTACATCCAAAAGAGCTTCGAATTCATGGTGATTGTGGAATTATGGGTATAATAGGCATGTAACTGCAGCTATAAGAGAAACAAATCCTTATCCTGTCTTTCATGTGAACATTGAATGTTACAATATTTCTACATACTCTTCAATATGGACTGTGTACTATCTCCATACCTATTCAACCTGTATGCAGAGCAAATTATCCGAGAGACTGGGCTCTATGAGGAGAAGCATGGTGTTAGGATTGGTGGACGATCTATCAACAATCTACGTTATGCAGATGACACAACTTTGCTCACTGAAACTGAGGAGGACCTCATGCACTTACTGCAGAGGGTCAAG